ACCGACCAGTCAGCGACTGACCAGTCAGCGACCGACCAGTCAGCGACCGACCGGTGAGCGACTGACCAGTCAGCGACCGACCAGTCAGCGACCGACCAGTCAGCGACCGACCAGTCAGCGACCGACCAGTGAGCGACTGACCAGTCAGCGACCGACCAGTCAGCGACCGACCGGTGAGCGACCGACCAGTGAGCGACAGACCAGTCAGCGACAGACCAGTCAGCGACAGACCAGTCAGCGACAGACCAGTCAGCGACCTCACTTGGTCCTGAAGTGAACGTGTCTTACCTGCAGAGCTGCAGCTGTGTTGCATTAAGGCTTTGCAGTCAGAGATTTCAATAATAACAGAGTTTTGTTTTGTTTCTTGTTAATTTACTGTAATAAACCTTTGTAAAATACACCAAAATGCAGGAAATGGCATTTACTTTATTCAAAATTCTCTGGGGGAGGACCCCCCACCACCACCACCAATGCAGCCTGTTCTGTAATGTTCTTTATACAGAATGAAAGGTTAAATAACTGCAGAATAAAGAAATGGACTTTACTTAAATAATTATTTGCATTTCCTGTATTATATTAGTACATTTGGCCCGCAGCCCTCTGATAGATTTTAAATTTGGCCCTTTCAGAGAAAAAGTTTGGGCACCCCTGCTTTACGCCAGACAAACCGTTCAACCCGTCAGCAGCTAACCAGCGGTATCACGTGTTTCAGCTTTGGCGCTTCCTAAAACTTCTTACTGTATGAAAAGCTCTCAACTAACAGCACGTCACAGCGTTACACTGAAGATTCAGCATGTCCAATCTTTCTGACGAGGCACGCTCATGAGCAGCTTCGACACAAAAACGTGCTTTTCATGCACACTTGTTGTGTTTTTCTAGTTTAATTATTGCGCTTTATTCCACAACGTCTGCTTTCTTTGAAGAAAAAACTGTAGCAGGGATATAAAAACTCACAATCATCCAGGTCAAGCAGAGACATTTCTTTCTTCTCCTTCTTGACGGGTTTGGACGGAGGTTTGGACTCAGCTGCCTGGAAGGACATTCAGCTTTCAGCATCTCCATGAAGCTGGGCCACTTGGTGAAGCCATGAACTCAAACGAAGGTCTGATTTTTATGAACAGCGCGTTCAATGTGTACCTTCTTTTTCTTTTTGAGCTCCACTTCAGACTCCGAGTCCTCCGACTCTGACTGACTGCTCTCAGACTCACTCTCCTCATCCTCCACAGATTCAGACTCGGAGTCGCTCTTTCGTTGTTTACTCTTCTTCTCTGGCTTCCTGGCTTCTTCTTCGCTGCTCTGTTCACTGAAAAATGAAAGCAAAGATCAGTTCCAGCTTAGCTTTAGCAGTTTGTTACATGATGAATAGACAGGAAGTGATAACAGTTTCAGACTTAAAACTACAGCCACACAGAAAGAACTTCTTAAAACAGATTAAAAACTACAAAAATGGATTCAACACCTTTCAGTTTCTGGCTTTGGCTTCTTCAGTTCTTTCTTTTTGGTTTTCTTTTCCTCCTTCTCTTCCTCCTCGTCCTCATATTCAGAGTCTTCCTCGCTCTCGCTCTCCGAACCCGACCCGCTGTCCTCGCTGCCGCTGTCCGAGGCGCTCGCCGAGTCCGACTCTACGGAGGGAGTGAACGTGGGTCAGAAGGAGAGCGATATAAGACGGTTGTTGAAAAACTCCAATGATGATCGCAGCTACTCCTGATTCAAATCAGAGGAATGTAATGGAGAGCAAGCGACTTGAAACCGTCTCATCGTCAGATCCTTTAGGGGTTTAATCGTTTCTGTCTTCAGACACATTTTACGAAATGTTCCACAAAATAATCACTAACGTGTTTGAATGGAGGTTTCTTTCAGCTGCTCCCTTCAGGGCTCGCCACAGCGAACCAGCTCAAACAAAGACTTGGTGATTGTTTTTACGCCGGATGTCCTTCCTGACGCAACCACAGACCACCGAGCTACCACAGCCTCTGTGTGGAGCAGAGAGCTGCATCTAGGGCGCCCGGGGGGAGCAGGTGGTGGAGGTTAAGGGTCTTGCTTTAGGGCCCAGAGTGGGGCAAATGAGGGTGGAGGCAGGTGTGGATGGTTCACTTTTCTCATCCAACTTTTGATGTTGTTGGTTCAGGGAGTTGAACCAGTGACCTTCCGATCACAGGCTCACCTTCTCTAACCTCTGCGCCACCACTCCCCTTAGTTTTAATTAAGAGTGCTGGTTTGAAAACTGGTCTAGAATAACGTCATTGGGAATTTCAGCCGTATGTTTAAAACCCAAGCTTCACCGTGGTGTCAAGCGTTATACGAAGGGATTTCCAAGTGAAACGGCAGTGAAGAATGGTGAAGGCAATTAAAAACAGGAGAATTAAAAGGGTATCTTCTGCAAACATACCTGTCAGAAAAGGCCAAATTAAAGATAGATGAAGACTGTTTGTTATTTTGATTACTGGGATCAACAGATGGTCTTTAAGGACTCTTTCTTTTTAAAGTTCTTCATGATGTTCTTTCTTTGTATCTCGATACGTCAATAACGTGGACGCTCTCTCGAGAAACTGATGCACGCAGGTATCTCAGTGTTTTTGTTAGAATCACTTGGATAAAATTATTCAGAGTTTAGATTTGGCCTCAGTTTCAGTTGAAACAGATTCGTCTGTTCTCCAAACATAATGAATTACTAAGAATTAATTTTAAAACGTGGTTAATTTCACCGTACAGCTGTTAAAGGAACTGTTAAATTTTATGAATTTGTTTCTTTGTCTCAACAAAATACTAAACTAAAACAATACTTGTGTTGAATAATTTTTGTGTAATTTTTTCCCCATCCACACGACTCAAATAAAATCACAAAAAAAAAAAATCACATTCTCACACAACCGCATCTTTTGTGGACTTCAGTTAAAGTAAGGGAGGTCATGGTGCCGCGGTCCCAGGTTACCGCTGTCAGCAGACTCCGTCGGCCCCGATTCTCCCTCTGAGTCCGAGTAGAACGGCTTCTCCGCTTTCTTCTCCTTCCTCTTCTCGCGACTGCTGCATTTGGTCCATTCAGGCACCTGATGAAAGGAAACGGTTGAAACCATCAGATCTGTCTCGGCGCTCTCGGCGAGCAGCGTAAACGTGGGCGGATCACAGGAGCGTGGCCATGAATGTCTCTGCCTGGGCGTGATGCAGCCAATTGAAGCCATCCACAGCTGCTGCTGATATGCTTTTAGATCTCCCGGTGAGAGAAGAAGAAAGAAACATCACTTCAGACGCCAACGATTGTACGGAGATCACAGAAAAAAGACGAGCACCAGGTGTTGCCTTCATGACCCTTTGCAGAAATGGTTTTCTTTTAATACAGGGAGCATATCCATTAAGAGAAGTGATGTCTTTGAGAAGGAGCGACTTTCCTCCCACACTTTACTCACGAGGCAATCTGCTCTTTTTGGGACCAGACTCATTAACCAGAACCGTCCGGTAATGAGTGTGGACATCTCCCCACACCATTTAAAGCTCACGCTCGGTGCTGCAGCGTCTGCGCGCCTCCTCTCCTGCTCAAAGAATCACTTCTTCAATGGTCACGACAGAGGAAGAGGGTTGTTTCAGGTGGCTCAGCTAAGCACAAAAAAACAGCAACTATAAGGCCGGGTGTTAAAAAGCACTGAGGGGTTTTAGCGGCTGTGTGGGTTGAGGCTCAAGGACGTGTGGCTCTTCGCCGCTAACGGACTCACACTCGTTAACGTTGTGACTCTTTCGAGCAGCGTAAAAACCTGGCAGACGTAGAAAAGTAAGAGCGGGATGCAGATGAGTTAAAAAAGGAAGGAAGGAGACACTTTCAGACAAGTTGTAAACAGACATAGAAAGGTTTCAGAGTCTGGAAACAATAAACAAATAAATAAAAACGTGTGAGCAGATTGGACAACAGAGACAAAAGTTCAACCCCAAATGTTAATAGAGCACACCCAGTTAATGCTAACGTGTCTAATCAAGCACTCCAATATAACTTTACATCCTAAACATCAAACGTCAACAAATAATATTGAACAAGGGCGTTTTGTTGTGAACATCTTCAGCAACAAAGACTGAGCAGGGATGAAGAGGAGGAAATGACAACCTGAGTGAAAGTACGACACACAACGTCACACAACGTCACACAACGTCACACAACGTCACACAACGTCACACAACGTCACACACGTCAGAGTCACGCCACAAACTCCAGGTGCAGAAGAAGAAAACCAGGACGGTCAGCTGAGAACATTTCAGGTTTGTTGGACTGCTTTGTGTCACGTGGACTTTATGTTTTCCATCCCTCAATAAACTTAGCTCCAGTCTCACGAAGCAGAACACAGCTGAACCTTCTAACGGAGCTTCCTGTCCTCTGGCGTCAGACTGTGCACAAAGTTTGGGCCTAACGCTGCGGGAGTTCTGCTCCATCAGCTCCCTGCAGCCACATCTGAGCATCGACCAGCAGCACCTGAGGGTCGTCGGCTCGATGAGCGAGAGGAGCATCGAAGGCTGCAGAGGACATGCAGTCAGCGCTGGAGCATTACCTGCCAATGGTAGTTGTGTTCTGGCCTTTTACTCGTGAAGTTTAACTAAAGATTAACTGACTTTGTATTTGTCGTGTTTCCAGACGAACCCCTGATGTCCTCCTGTCCCCTGGATTCTCCTCTGTGGACCTCAAGCTCTCCTGTGCCTCCTCAGCTGCCTCCACGCCTTCCTACCACTGCCTGCCATTGCTCGGATGTTCTCCTTCTTGGCCTGGAACCACCGGGTCATCTCTCCACCTCTGACTCCTACTCCTACCTACTGTAAGGAAAAGCAGCAGCAACATTATCACCCCTGCTCACAGTCCATTTCTCTTTGCTCTTCAGGGTTCCAGCTCCCTCCCTGGCACAACTGATGATTTATCACTTTGTAAATAAACACTGTAAATATATTTGGAGTCTTGGTATCTGTTCTCTTGTATCTGGGTAGAGCTGGGCGATATCTTGATATTTTAAAAACATCTATATAATTTTTTTGCGATAAAAGACTATGTCGATATAAACAATAGCCCCTCAACCACACGCTCCCCACCGCTTCCTGCTTCTCCAGGAGGTGGGTGGGAGACATTTAGCACAAGTAAGCAGTAAACAACACGATGGCTCAGTGGTTAGCACTGCTGCCTCACAGCAAGAAGGTCAAGGGTTCAATCCCCGGTTGGACCTGGGTTCTCTCCGTGTGGAGTTTGCATGTTCTTCTCGTTCTTGCGTGGGTTTTCTCCGGGTACTCCGGTTTCCTCCCACAGACCTAAAACATGCATGTTAGTCTGCCTTCAGGCCCAGGCCTCCCTTGCAAAAGATCTCAATGGGATTTGTCTGGTTAAATAAAGATTAACAAATAAATAAGTAAATAAATAAATAAACAGGGGAGATACATGAAGAAACTGCTGCTGTACAAAAAGAAAAACAATGGCTGTTCTTTCGGAGATGGTTTGGATTTAAACTGTCAGATGAGCAGCAGAAAAATGTTTCCTGTAGACAATGCTAAAAACAAGTCCCGATAGAAGGTCAGCACTACGAATCTTTTTAAAACAGCGCTAGTGGCGTATGAAGCGTGCGTGAAGCTGCAGCTGCACGTCTGACAGGCTTCAGCCTCCTTCCCTGAAACAAACCACGGTATAAAAACTCATTTAGCCGTGCTGTGCCTTATGAGAGGAACAGTGAGGTGTTGCCTGTATTTAACATTTCAGAGCTCTCTGACACACAATTAGCTAAAAGTAGAGGTGAGTAAGAAGGTATCTGATGTCATCAACACCATCAGAGACAGAGAGAGAGCAAAATGTGAAGCGAACAGGAAGCAGTCATCAAAATAAACACCACTGCACGCCCAGACTCAGCCGGCACCTCTCGCCAGTCTCCCAGCAGGCCGATCCTCCCTTCTCCGGTGTTTATGACCTCCTCGGTCTGTGGAGGTGATCCGTGCAGGAGGAGAGAGGAGGCTGTCAGAGTCAAGGCTTCAGAAGTTACACGACCCCCCCCCCCCCCCCCGGACCAGTATTAACAGTTACAGCAAGACGCTCACTTTCATGATGACCCGGTGACAGAACCAGGAGCTGCTTCAAGGACCACGCGTGCTTTTATTTATTTTTTACAACTTCTTAAGTTAAAAATGTTTGTTCATTGCAAATCATTTTAAAAGCATGACTCAATTATATTTTAGATTTTAATACTGCATAGATGATGCAAAACATCAAAACTGGCTGCAAAATGATTGATGTTTTTTTAAATGATAAAGAGCCTAACTCATATTCAAAGAGTCAAATTTGGGGCTTTTTACTAAAACTTTACTCGATTAATAACCAAAAAGTGGGACAAATTTAGAACACAGTTCTCATTCTGGTCGTTTATATTATTGCTTTTTAACTATTTATTGATGATAGACTATGTATAAACTTCTGTTTGTAGCATTGCCAGTGCAGGACTAGTTAAAGAAATACATTTTTCATTGGTATAATTTGGTGTCTATTATTTATTTAATTTCCCTCCGGGATTAATAAAGTATTTTTGAATTGAATTTATTTGACTTATCTTTCCTAATCTACATAAGATAACATAAAAACTGAATGTGTTGTATATGTGTCAATATTTTATTCATTTGAATGAGAAATTGTTCAAATGCTGGTGAACATTTCAGGCAGACGGTAGGTGAAATAATTTGGGTGTAGAGAAGAACGTGTGCTGATCTGTGAACTGTCAGCTGCACGACCTTCTCGTGATTCAAACAATGACGGGGTTTAATCCACGTCAGGCCAAAACTGGAGGGGGGGGACATTTCTGCAGACGTAGCCTCAGTAATGATGTGCGCTGTCAGAAAATCAATTGGACTGACGTCTACGTCCAGCAGGGAGGTTCTGATAAGGCCGTCTGATCACAGCTGCGCTTCTACCTTCTGTGTGGGAAGTGAACAAAATCTGTCATTTATCTTCACTATAAGAAAAAAAAATCACATTAAAACAGTATTTTTATATAACTCTTTGACTTATGGAGAAAAATGACCTGTAATGAACTAAATCTTTGTGGCACCAGGCAGGCGGAAGTGATTCGTGGCTTCATCTTGTAACCAGCGCGCTACGTTGGTTCACAGTCTGCTGGTTTCGTTACGCAGATCTTTAATGGTCATTTTATAAAGTATGTGAACGTTATTGATCAGTGCCCTGAGATGGTGTTTGTTAACGCTTTATAAACAAACTGGACTGGAAGAAAAAGGACAAGTTAAAAATGAAGAAACGTGACTTTCCACCGTTTGATTAATACAACACAAACGAACACGTGTGACAACAAAAATCAAACTGGAGGTCGGCGCTGACGCTTAAATCAGGAGCTGCGACGCTCCGGTTTGATTTCACGTCTGCTCAGAACACAGCGCTGCACCGACGGCACACAGACCGGACGGGACGGAGAAAAGAGGAGGGAGGTTGAAAGGCTGTGCAACTGGTTTATATGGGAGTGCTTTAAGACTTCAACTGTTTCTGTTCAGAAAAAATGACCAGGAAACGATTTATTGTGAGAACAGACGCTCTGGATCAACTGTTGTGATCATAACTAGAAAGTTCCTGGAGAAACTTTGACGGGGACTCCATGAGGCGGCCATTTTTAAAAATTTAATTTGACAGTACTTTGTGTTGGAGTTCTCTCTCAGCTACCACCAAACCACATTTCATCTCAATATGGAAAAAATCAACGAGTTAAAGTCATGTTTTATTTTAAGCTATGGAAGCCATCTTGAATTTTTGATTTGGATTCAGCCCAATTCAGCTAAAATGTGCTCTCTCTACTTCCTTTTAGTAATTTCAGCTTCTTTTTGCCTTTTTAGCTACTTTTTGGCTGTTTCTTTGCTAATTTCAGCTGTTTTCAGATTATGCACACATTTCTGTGCTCATTTCTTCTTCTTTCAGTCTAATTGGGCAATTTTTTTTGCTATCTTCTGCTAATTTAAGCTTGTTTTTTTAGAGGTTTTTTTAGCCTTTTTTTTTTTATTTTTTTTTAGCAAATTTCAGTTGTTTTTAGATAACTTGCACATTTTGTGCTCATTTCTGCTTCTTTCAGCTAACTTCTTTCTATTAATTTTAGATTGTTGTGCTCCTTTTAGCTCCTTTCTGCTAGTTTCAGTTTTTCAGCTACTATTTAGCCGTTTATGCTAATTTGAGCTTTTTCAGCTACTTTTACATTTTTTGCACTCATTTCAACTTTTTTCAGCCTAGTTCAGCAAAAACTTGCTCTCTCCACTTCCTACAGGTAATTAAAGTTTTTTCTGCTTTTTTAGCTACTTCAGTTGTTTTTTGTTAATTTGAGCTTTTTTCAGATAATTTCCACCTTTTTGTGCTCATTTCTGCTTATTCAGCAAATGTGTTCTTTCTGCTTTCTTCTACTAATTTAAGCTTGTTCTAGCTTTTCAGCTACTTTATTTTAGCATTTTTTAACTAATTTTAGCTGTTTTCAGATAAATTCATGTTTTTCATGGTAATTGTTGCTACTGCCTGATTAACTTCTTTCTGCTCCTTTCAGCTTTTTCTTCTATATCAGCTACTTTTTAGCGGTTTTGTGCTAAATTGAGCTTTCTCAGCTAATTCCACATTATTTGAGCTCATTTAATCTCCTTCCACTTCCTTCTGGTAGCTTAAGCTTCTTTCTGCCCTTTCAGCTACTTTTCAGCTATTTATTTTTTCTAATTTCAGCTTTTTTAGCCAATTTTCCAGTTTTTGTTCTACCGTAATTTCTGCTTACCAGTATTTAAACATAATTCAGCAAATATGTGTTTTTTCTGCTTCCCTCTGCTAACTTAGGCTTGTTCTTCCATTTCAGCTACATTTCAGCATGTTTTTAGCTAATTTCAGCTGTTTTTCAGGAAGTTTTTGAGCGATAAGAATTCACACTGCATTTTCGCAGGAAAGGCTTTCTCTAGGTCAGAATGTGTTGTGCATCGCTGTCAGGCACTAACACACCAAATTTCAGATCAATACCTTTTAAAATAGCTGAGTTATCGTGTGTTTCACTTTTGACTAAGGCGGCCATCTTGAATTTTGGTTTGAGTTAGGAATGTATAGCAACTCGCTCTCAGCTACCAACATTCTAAATTTCAGCTCATTGTCTCTAAGATTGAATGAGTTATGGTCAATTTCCTATGAAAAACGGCGTCTTTGCGGATTACGTCGTCATGGTAACTTGAAACACCAATAAAAGTACAGGGTGCTGAGCTGGTCACATTTTGTGGGGACACGCTGCGGTTCAGGCAGCATTAAAGTTGCTAAAAGAGCAAGACTCTTCAGGTGGCTGCCTTTGTAGGCAGTCCCCTGTCACTGAGGGCTTCCTCCTCTTTTCTCGTGTGCTGTTGGCTCAGACAGATGTGAGGAATGATGCTGATGGGGCGAGTGAGCTGCTGCCCATCAGAAGCATGTGCGGCAGAGAGGATGAGAGGAGCTCACAGCTTCTGACTGTTTCCATCATCATGCTTGTTTTTTAATCTCCTCTGAGGAGCTGACGCAGCTTCCATTTGGCAGTAATGAGAACCAAAGCGGATGCGTGCTGCTGATGAGCCGTTCGTGTTAATAAGCGGTGAGTGAATGAACGATGGTCAGTGACAGAGGAGCCCATGTTATATTGGAGTTAGTGTTAAGGTGGAAGTGAAGCTTGTGCGACTCTATCCAAGTCCTCTGAGGCACTGCTCTGAGGAAGAAGCAACCCTCACTCCCCTCCATCTTTCCAGCCCCCCGGAGAACCAGAGGGCCCCTGTGTCTCTGTATGTTACTGTTCCCACTGCACGCACAGACTCCTTCACCTCCACGTTGCGCACGGAGGGGTCGGGGGCGGCTTCGGGCCAGTCAGGCAGCTCCTGGTAGCCACCAGCCTTGGCATTAAGCAGGTGAGAAAGAGAACCCAACTGGAAATGGTCTCGATCTGCAGAAACACAAAGTGATGAGTCTTAGAAACAAGAGCGCAGAGGCACACGGGCACGTTGTACGCCCGTTTAACTATTACACAACAATCTATAGCAATAGCCTGGACTAGCAAAGACCTTGTAAAATATTTGACCTTGATTTGTGACCTTAAACTTAGAGTTGGGGTGATGAGTAGATCACATGGCACACCCCCTTAGTTCTGCTGCTATAGGCTTAGACTGCTGGAGGACGAACTGACCACGTGTCTGCTGCTCTGCTCTACCTGTTTGTATTTGTAATTATTTCTATCTTAACATGTTTTTTGTCTTTCTTCTTATAGAAAGTACACCTGGACCTGCCATTAGAGGTGGGCGATATGGCTCAAACATAATATCGTGATATTTCAGAGCATTCCGATGATAACGATAAATTTAGTGATACAACAACAACAACAGAAATCAGTTATTCATTTGACAAAATTAACTTAAGATGTTGTTTTGCAATATCTTATAAAAAGATCTGAAGCTCTTGACCTTGACCTCTCTAAGTGGCTTTAAGAATCTGTTGGACTCCTGGCAGGGACCAATGCAGACATGTTCCTGATTTCAGTTTTCTACATTCGCTTTAGAATCTAGCTGTTTTTTGCTACTTTTTACTTTATTTAGTAAAGTTTCAGTCTCAAAGTATAAAAAAGAAAAAAAATGAAAATGATCCTCATGTTATTTAGATTGAAAAAGTCTGCACAAAATATAGATCAGAAATAATCCACCACAAAAACTAAAGTGCAGGTGCAGTTCCCAAATAAACTAAATAAAACGAAGCTTAAGATCTGCATGAATGTAACAGAAAGAAAAAATATGTTGCTTTTAAATGATATAACTTCCAAAACTTGTGACAAATGCTGAAAACAAATGAACTGCTGCCTGAACGGACCGCTGATCACAACCATCAGCCAGTTTCCGGATCCTCAGCTGGTCTCGAGGTTTGAGCTGCACAGTTCCCAGTTCCCAGTCTCTGTTAGTGCACAGTCGGACTCAGGTACGGCTCCGCGGTCAGACTTGGCCATAAATCAGTGGTTGATGCATTCAGTGGTTCCCCTCCCGTTATACAAGTGGGGTGCCCCCCCGTCTCAACAGAACCGAGAGCACAGTCTACGAACCGAACAGCGCGCACCCGCCGCCCCGCTCGCCTGCACTGACGTAGCTCCAAGTTAGCAGCGCACTAGCTAGAACGCTAAAAGCAACGTCTTCTCTCACGCTGACCGGCTCGAAAACTGTGGCGACGGCGCTCAGCTCAGATGTGTCTGTTCATGCCTTCACCGTTACAATTTGAATATCGCTGCATGACCCACGTGAGCGTAACCCGCTGACCGCTGCGTGGCGGGACGATGTATTTACGTCATGAAATTAACATATCATGATATAATTTATGTTCTAGGGCAAGTTTTTTTTTAACCGATATTATCGTGAACGATATGATGTGGCCTAGCTCGACCTGCCATTCTATGTTTGTTTCTTTAATTCCAATAATTTGTTTTAGTTCCATATTAAAATAATACAAAAGGACTGTGTAGCTTCCTCCTTGTTGTGATCAAGGCCGGCTCCAGTACCTTTGAATGGAGACTCGAGAACCGGCGCAGGTTTGAGGGCGAGGAACAGTTTCTTAGCGTACTTGCTGAGGGCCCCACTCTTCTCGATGGGCACGATGAGCTGACGAATGAAGCGTGCGCGGTCACGAATGTCGTAGTTCTGGTCGTATTTGGCCAAGTTGAGGACATACTGCGTCAGAAGTTTAGTCTGCAAGAAGGAGAACGAGGAGAATGAAAATAACTGGAGACGAGACTATTTGTGATAAAATGTGAAATCTTGAAAATGCACAGAGGACACACGTTACCGTCACGTGTAAATGGGTTCTTCGTTCCCTCTGTGCGTTTCTGAATTGTCTTAGCACCGTGTTAGATTAATGCAACTTCAATAACCTGTTTGGAGTTTGTGAGATACAGCTTGGCCGCCAAATTGATGATCTGCAACTTAACAATGTCCTCTTCGCTGGTGAACGACTTGGCCATCTTCCTGAGAACATCTGGGGCAATCTTCGGCACGTGCTCGCAGTATTCTCCAATCAGCCACAAGATGCTGGCCCGCGCCATCGGCACCTGCGAACACGTGCAGAGACGCGTTGGACTAAAACCTTTTCTTGCAACAAAATCTTATTTTTAAATAAAGCAACTGATGGCGTCCCTGTGCCTCTCACCTGGATGTTGTCTGTTAGTTTGGCCATGTGCTTGATGATGTCGCTGTGCTTCTCTGGCTGCATCTGCAGCAGCTTCTTGATGACGACCACCGACTCGGCTACCACCAGCTCTGCAGAAAAACACCATTTGATCAAATATATATATACCTGTGTATGTATATATATATATATATATATATGTTTCTCTTTTATAAAGTAAACTAGAGAAATTACATTTCCTTTGAAAATGCAGTGTGAATGCTTATTACAGAGGAACTTGCTGAAATTAACTAAAACGTGCTGAAATGGAAGAACAAACCTAAATTAGCAGAAGAAAGCAGAAAGAACACATATTTGGTGGAATAAGCTTAAATGAGTAAAAATTTGAACAAAATTTAGGAAATTAGCTAAAAAAAATGAAATTAGTAAAAAGAAAGGTTAAAAATTAGCCAAAAGGCAGAAAGAAGCTTAAACTACCAGAAAAAAGCGGAAAGAGCTGAAATGAGCTAAAAGAAAAATAATAAAAAGTGGAATTGGCTGAAAAGCAAAAATTAGCATTGAACAACTAAATAGTAGCTGAAATAGCAGAAAAAGCTGAAACTAGCAGAAATAAGTTGAAAGGAGCATAACAAGCTGAAATTATCAGAAGGAACACGTTTGTCCAATAAGCTTAAAGAAGCAGAAATGAGCACTAAAAAGTGGAAATTAACTGAAAAAGGCTGAAATTAGCAAACAACAGCTTAAAAGCAGCTAAAAAGGCAGAAAGAAGCTTAAATTACCAGAAGGAAGTAAAAAGAGCACATTTTTGCTGAATTAGGCAGAAAAAAGTTGAAAGTAGTGCAAAAAACGTGTAATTAGCTGAAAAAGCTTAATTAGAATAAAAACTGCTAAATAGTAGCTGAAATGGCAGAAAAAGCTGAAACTTGCAGAAACAAGTTGAACGGAGCATAACAAGCTGAAATTTGCAGAAAGAAGTTAGAAGCACAAAAATGTTGTAATTAAAAAAAATAATCTGAAAGGAGCACAAGACCGCTGAAAAAACAGCTGAAATTAGCTGAAATTAGCTGAAAAAAGTTTAAATTTGCACGAGGAATCTAAAAGAAGCTGAAGCAGAACAAAATGTGAAAGGCGCAGTAAAAGGTAAAAGTAAAAAACAGATCTAAAGATTTGAAGGATGTAAAATGAGCTCACTTCATTTTCTGAGGAATAAAAATGACAGAAAAGGCTAAATATTTCAAAAAGCTAAAGTTGCAGCAATACCAAAAGTCATAGCTGATTGTCCTGAAAGAGCTGAACGTTTCTGAAATAACGATTTGTTGAAATAGAACAAAAATTGTGGAACGAGAAAGATGCAGAAAAACGTACGGAAGACAAATGGATCACAACAGTGTGAATGCTTCGTAAACCTTCACACTGTTATAGTTTATAGCGTGAATAAACCATCAAACTATACTGTATAGCACAATTCACTTCATGTAAAAACCTCGCTCAACCTGAGAAGTGTTTCAAAAAAAGAAACTTGCCATCTCGGTTGGAAAGTAGCTGCACCAGACCGTTCAGACAGGTGTCCCTCACTTCACCGATGTTTGTCGCACAGCGGCCAATAGCTTGAATTGTTGCAGCCACAAAATCTTTATCCATGCTTTTAATGTACGTCTGTCAGGAGAAAGGCTGACTCAGTGTGGCAACACATACAGGACCCACTGCTGGTGGGTTCATCTTTATAAATCTGTACAAATGGCCTGGTCCCATACCTGAAACTCTCGGAGAATGGTGGAAATGTTTGTCTCGTTGGCCAGGTTGGTGAGAACCTCCAGCTGAAAACAAGACAACGAAAATGAGATTTTCACAAACTTGTAGAATAAAAACCTTTTGGGTTTTACGAGGCAACAGAGCCAAGAGAAACCTTGAGAACTTTGATCTGAGTCGGGTCTGTGGAGCGGATGTAGAAGCTCTTCAGGTATGGTTCAAACATGCCCTAAAACACAGAGACAGGAAACCTCAGCAGATCTGTCGGCGCTTAGCGAGCTGCATGCTAATGGGACCAACCAGCTCCGCTCACCCGTCTCTTAATCGTCATCGTTGCCACGTTCTGAAGAACCACAAACTGGACTTCACTGATGGAAGAGAAACATATTAATTTATATTTAAACAGATTTATTAAACGGAGCAGTTTTCTCTGTTCCCACTGACAACCTGAGTTTTTCATTTCGGACCACAGTTATTTAAAGTTCTGGAGGCAACAGAAAACCACCAGTGATGCTGTAGGGCCAACAAGTAATGGCTCGGGGGGGCCACAGTTACTGAAAGACAAGAGCTCAGTGGCCGGACCTCCAGCAGTTATTGTCATTAAGTTTGTTTTATGGTTTAAAATCTAGTTTTATTTAAAAGTGAACTCATAGGTGGGCCAAACTGAGCTCCCCCTTAGGCCTGATTTGGCCCCCGGGCCGCCAGTTGAATTTCCCTGTGGGCTAAAAACCACGTATTAAAATAGAAACATGACGTGAAATAACCTCTAAGCACCCCGCAGTTACTTTTAAATAAGCATTACGCATAATATCGCACAACAAACTTTAAATTTTTCTTCTGTGTGAAGTTTTTTTCAGTAGCTTGTGGCTTTTATTTTTAACAGGACTACAGTAAAATAAGCAGAATACACGTGTGTACACATGTACATGCGTGTCTTTATAGGGTTACCAACCAACCCTTAAAATGCAGCATCACCCTGTAGCTGAAACTTTAAAAAACTAGTGTAAACAGGAACCCACTCTGGTCCGTATTTTCAAGAGTTCGTGCACATTTCTTTACAGATGATAAATAAAATCGGTAGGACGTTGATAAAAATAATAATAACTAGTTAAAGGCGACTCCGTTTCTCCTCCTAAGCTGTTTGTTACATTTCACATCCGTTCCAAGAATCCATCACTGACTGGTCAAAAGTCACGAGTTGGTGACTAACGCCTGATGAGAGAAGCAACGTCCATCGAGCTGCTAGAACATGCACAAACACAGCGCTGAAATAAAATCAGGAACTTCTCAAAACAATAAAAACCTGCAAAATTACAGACGAAAACATTCAATTTTGAAGCCATTTTGAATCAGGTTACCTCCAAAGGTTGATCAGTTGTAGACCACTGATGACTTTCTGGGAGTTTTATAAAAAATGCCCATGGCTGACATGCATGTGTGGTGTGTTCCTTGGTCTTCATGATGCTGTTTGATAATTAATGTAGCAAACCTCTGCGATGAGATGAATTTATGCTGAACTTAAATGACACACAGGTTGACAGTTGTTATGAATTTGGTCACTTTTGAAGACAGCTGGCTGCTCTGGGTTGATTCAGGAGGATCAGAGTAAAAAGCTGCGTGTACGCCACATTTTTTACAAAACAAAGTTTGACAACCATGGATCTTTTTTTTTTTTTTTTACTTCCCAATTATGCACTAATTTGTGTTGGGCTGTCACACAAGATCCCAGTAACAGACTTTGAAGTGGTTGTAACATGAAATGTGGAATAGTTAAAACATCGTGAATATTTTTTTGGGGTACGGTAAAGACACCCAATCCCTAACTGCACCCCGGGTGCTTCCATAGCTGTGTAGTGAACTAAGCCTCAGGTCAAAATCTGGCCCTGAGGGCCTTCCTGGGACAGGAACTGTTATTTCATTGATTTGAGTCCAGAAACACAAATTAAGTTCATCCAGAGACTTTCTAATTGTATCCTGCACTGATCAATTGAAAGAACACTCTCTTTTTTATTATCATTACTATTTTACAATATCTTGATAATCAAAAGTGTGTTTAGTTCAAACCATTTTAAATGTTGAAGTGAACTACTCATTTTAAATCAACTGTGAAACAGTATAAATGATTTTTAATCCTCATTCAAAGTAGAAATCAAGTTAATGTCTGTTACAAGAGTAATGATGCATTTTTGATTCTCTGTCTGAAATGAGCAAGTCGTGATGTGGGTCAGAAGTCAAGTTTCGATCAAAAACATGTTTACTGGAAAGAAATGTCATGTTTAACTTTTTCAGACAGATAGAAGGAAAACTGGCTCCAAAAAGTCTCATTTCTTCAAAACATCTTTCTGTCTGTTCTTAAAACATCCCACTGTTTTTCTGACTTTTAATGACCCTCTTACGTCACTAAGACCACACCCCTGTTGGTTCGTTTCAACCAATCAGGAAGTTCTCAGAGGAACCGGAAGTGACCTCTTTA